TTCAGGATCATTTATAGTCCCGGGGATGCTCAACCCCAATCGAGTTTCAGGATCATTTATAGTCACGGGGATGCTCAACCCCAACCGAGTTTCAAGGTCATTTATAGTCCCGGGGATGCTCAACCCCAACCGAGTTTCAGGGTCATTTATAGTCCCGGGGATGCTCAACCCCAACCGAGTTTCAGGATCATTTAATGTCTCGGGGATACTAAACCCCAAACTTAATCCTTACCAAATCCTAACCTGGATATGGCTAACCTTTCGTTCCTTTAACTATGGACAATACCTAGCCCTATAGTCATATAACCATCCTTAGGAACCAACGTGGGCGGGTCCCACCTGAACGACCCACATTAACCCGCTCAAAACTGCCCGTTTTGAGCACAACCCAATACTCGATCGAGTATCTACCCATACTTGATCGGGTATAGGACGCAGTAGCCCCCTGGGGCAATTTTTCAACAAATACCCGGTCGGGTATGGCAGTTGACTTGGCGGTCAACGCCCGTTTGACCACCTAAATGGAGTCCGATTAACGTGAAATTTTATACACATATACTTCTTGACATCCTTGATCCAAAAATACCATTTTGGATCCCTGGAACATCACACGTAATAAGTTATCACATTTTTAATCACCAAACCTACATAACATGCTTTTCAACTATGTTTTATGTATAATCATGGCATAAGCAAACACTTGGTTATCTTTAATCATTCCACAAAACAAATCCTTGATTACTTTAGTTAATCTCATGCCTCACGCAAAAGTTATAAAGCATAAAGCCGTCTTCTCACCTTAATGAAGCTTATGAAGTTCTAGCCTTCCCGATTTAGCTCCGGTGAAACTCCGGCGAACTTCAACGAACTCCGGCGACAACTACGGCGACCCTTTCAACTCAGTGAAAGTTTCTTGAATACCTTAGACAAGTTACTAACAAGGTTTTATCATCATAAAACCCATAGTAATACAAATAACCTCAAAAAGGTTATTTTCCGGCGAACCGGTCACTTTGGCTTCTAAGTCCATTCTTGGGCTTAGAACTATCTTTCAACCCCTCAGTCTACACTTCCAAACATGTAGAACAATACTAGGGTGTGAAATATGATTGAATAATCATATAAGATGATTGAAGAACAAGAAATGGGATTAGTGGAGTCATTACCTTGTAAATCTCAAGTTTTCCTTCCTAACTTCCCCTTTTTTCTTCCCTTTTTCCTTCCTTCTTCCTCCCTTGTTCTTGGTGAGTGTATGGATGGTAACAATGGAGTTTTGCAGACCTTATCTCTCTTCTTTGAGTGGGTTGGCCGAGCTATAGGAGTTGGGGTGATTGAGAATGCCTTTTTGGCATTTCTCATAATAATATCTTGGCCAAGGACCCACCCTCATGTTGATTAGTCTCCCAATCAATTTCATTCTTGCTTCCCCCTGATCTTGTGCGGCTCCTCTGGCCATTTGAAGGACTAAAAACGTGGGTTGGCCCCCACTTATGTGGGAGGTCAACCCTTTGTGTACCCGAGTGTACAATCGGTCCCGAAAGTTGTATTTTCCGGACTGTTTTAATTCTATTTTTATTTTATCGGGTCAAATAAAATATTACACTTGTTCCCAAACCTTATTGTACCTTAGAATGAATCTTCATTCCCCAACTTTAATTTAGAAGTCTCCGAAATTCCTTTTTGGGCTGTTATCTGATAAATTGCCGATACCGATAATTTGGCCCCGTTTGACCAACCGGTCAACCCTATGCCATTGCTATGGTCTAATTAGGATATCCACCACCATATACATATTATCTAGTCTAAGATTAATATAATATGTGGTCCCAATAATATCGGGCGTCCCCACTTCCGGTGTGGGCCCTACGTGAATTTTACTATTCACGTAAAAGAAATGATAAAAATTTACAATTTCGTAAAAATGCTTTTATTCACTTCTCAGGGTTCAATACATAATTTGGTATAGTACAAATACTCGGGGGCGGTGTTACAAATATACATACTCACCACCAACTCATCTCTGTGCAGACTTGGTGATGTTGACTGATCTGCAGGACCAAACGTGATTGGTTCGATCCTTCCCTTCTTCTGAGGCGGGTTGGAGATGGAATCCACAAGTAGGCTCCGTTCGAACCTCTTCCTTTCGGCAGCCGTGTCCCCGGTCTCTCCACCTCCGAAGATAACCTTCACCTCCATCTTGGGCTTCTTCCCTGGATTCTTCGATCCTTCAGCTTCCTCTCTGGGTGGTATATATACATCATTCCACGGTAGAGCATCTCGCTGATCGTCCCTCCTCCAGCTTTTGGATTTTTTGAACGGCGTTTGGAGGAGACATGTGGCATTCGGGTCCTGTTCACATACTTTCCCAAGTGACCTTGCTTGATTAGTTCCTCGATGGCTATCTGAAGCGCCTGACAAGTGTGGGTAGTATGCCCCTTCCTCTTGTGGTATTGACAATAAGCGTCCTCGTTCCCCATATGGTCCCTTGTATCTGTTGGGGGAGGGATGCCGTTCTTCTCATTATGAAAGATGGTTGCAATGGAAAGGACGAGCGGGGTGAAGCGTTTCATTTTCGTACGGGGTGCGACCGTTGGGATAGGACCCAGCCGATCGGCCAATTTTGCTGGTGCAGAAGGTGTAGCCACCTTATCCCTAATCATAATCTCTTCCTCAAGGGTGACATGCTTCTGGGCCCTATCTAGCACTTCGGTATATGCCGTCCTTGGGTTCTTCTTCAGGTCCCTGTAAAGTTCCCCGGTCTGTAGGGCATCAGTGAAGAGGGTAATTGATGTATCCTCCGTCATGCTTCCGACCTACAGAGTTTCGTCTCTCCATCTTTTCAAAAATTGATTGATGGACTCTCTTGGCCCCTGCTTGAGACTGGTCAGGTAACTGAAGTGTCGTTTGGGGGTGGAACTGGAAGCAAACTGTTCCAAGAACAAAGATGACAATTCGGTGAAACTGCCGATCGATCCAGGCTGCAGGGTTCCGAACCACTCCTGGGCGCCCCCCTGAGCGTGCTGAAAAATAGCATGCAAATGGCCGCATTTGCCGCTCCCCACAACATGAGCCATCCTTGATAACTTCTCAAATGTACATGGGGATCTCCCACCCCATCATATGTCTGACCAATCGGCGGTCTGGCATCCCTCTGGATTTCAGCATTCATTATTTCTCTAGTGAAGAGAGAAGTAATCCTCACCTATTCCGGGGTGGGTTGTTGGGGTGTTCTGTTCATCTACTCTCTTAATTCAGTCATCGGCCTCCTCATCTCGGTCATTTCCTCCTCATGAGCCATTCGGGGAGGTGGTGTTGTAGTTCTCAGACCCACCAATTCTGGGGTTCTCTCTGGTGGGGGTACATTCCGATTCTGACATCTTCGTAAGACCCTGGTGCCATCACATTCTTCATACCGGAATCGGGGGCCAACTAGCGTAGCTCCTCTGGCTTGGGACTCGATCGGGGTGTGGTCACTATGAGTGTGTTGTCTGTCCCTATTTTCGTGAGCCCTTCGGTGATCTCCCCGATGGGCCCGTGAATGGACCGAAGCCTTGGTTGTTTCTGTATTAGTGGTTTCCTCATCAAATGATTGCATCCATCGGAGTGGAGACGGGGGCATGTACGTGGTTTCCGCTGTGTAGCTGGATTGCCCCCCATCCTGCTCATCCGCCATGTCGCATGGCATGGGGGTTTCTCCTGAGTGCTTCGAGGATAAAGAAGTCCCCATCAAACTGTTGGTAGGATGCCTCACTGGATCATCCCTGGGCAGTCCAGCTCCCTAGTGTCCTGTTGTCCTCGCGTCTCTCCGAACTTCCACACGTGTGATGAGAGGTGATTTTGACCATTTTCTAGGTAGGTTTTTGCTTAGTTAAGTGGTTGCTTTGAAATTTTTTGTCCAAGTTTCCCACAGACGACGCCAATGTTGAGGTTAAGTCCCGAATGACCCAAAGGCCCAACACTAACCTTGGATCTAGGGTTGGATTGCTACAGTGACATGTATAAAAGAAATATAAAAACTGATAGATTCACGTAAATAGTCTTACTTGTATTAACACAGTAATAGCGATTACACAGAAATGGCCGAACGGTAGTTACGGTCCAAAGGCTGATACAAGAGCTAAAATGCAATATAAGCTTGTGAGTCAACAAATGCTAACCCTTATAATGAATTAAATGCTTCTATTTATACTAGATGGAAGTATGTGGGGGTATGGGTGCTCTAATATGATTGGTTGCCTCCCATGTCACTTGAGGCCTCCATGATCCAGCATTAACTGCAGTCGGTTACTTGAGCGAACTCTCGTTCGGGGTTAAGCCCTGCTAAGCTATCAATCAGGGAATATACTAATTACCCAAGTGCCAATTACACCCCGTTCGGGAGGTGCCGAACGGGCCTTCCCTTTGGTCACTCAACCTCTGTTTGGGCCCATTGACTTCTTTTGAACCCGGTTAGTTCCTGTTCGGGGCCGATTACTTCTTCTGGACTACCCTTTGTGTTTTGGGCCTTAGAGATGTACTGAACTGCCGTTCGGGGCCTATGACTTCCTCTGGACTTTTCCTGTCGTCTGGGCCCTAGGGATATTTTGAGCCGGTATGTTAGGCCGGACCTTAATATCCCATCAACAGATATTCGCCGAAATTCATAGAAGATTTGACATAGAGACGTTAAATTCGTGTCAAAAACATTATGTCACTATCTATTTGCACGAAATCATCGATCAAATTATGCCCAATCTTTTTCAATCTCATAATTTTTTGTAGTGTTGAAATTAAGACCCTCATTTGTTTGCTCAGCTTTTTTAGATCGAGTTTTAGCTAGAGTAGAGACCATATACATTACGGCACCCCTCAAGTGCTATAGTCCTACTTGGCCTAATCCATGCTAATTAATGCGTGGCTAGTTTATCATTCATATCAAACGCAATTTATCGGGGAATGTATATTATTATATTATTATAAATAAAACCACCCGATCGCGACCTTAATTAATTACCATATATCTTGTTTAGTCATCCAAATTAAAGTCCAAACACCTTTCCACAAGACCACAACAAATTTTCATTCTTTACCTCAGCAATGAAAGTGTTTGCCTCTATTTGCCTCTCCGTTAATCATTCGTACAAGAAGCTCACATAAATGTAAGTTCCTTTAATTTTTACACTAAAAAATTACATGATTGATACATATTTGACACGAATTGACCGATGATTTTATGTCAAATAGCTGGTACCAAAAGTTTTTGGCATGATTTTGACGGATTTGATATATCCCACCAAATCTTCTATGAATTTTGTTGAATATCTACCAAAAATCTTTGTCAATCCCATATTTTTTTTGTATGTACCGAATATATAGTTGTATTGATTCATCCACGGTTTTGAAAATGAAAATCTAACCTGCTTCACTCGCGATTATTAGTAATTTTGTATGGAGTATATGTTATATGGAGTACCTTCTAAGAGCTTTTAATACCAAATATTTATTTGTTATACAACTGTAGATTTTATGGAGTAGATCAAAATGAGTAAATTATACTTGACTCATATTCCATCTAAATTCTAAAATCGGAAAATCATTCTAAAATCCGTAGTTCATCAAGGAATCCACAAAATCTACAATTGTATCTAGTGCCAAAAATCATTGATCCGTGATGAAGCCACTTTGAAGAATCACACCACCAATAATCAGTGCTTATCATTAGTTATTAGATGCAAATTAATTAAGGCATTGATACAGTCACTACTAAGCATGAAGAATGTATGTACTAAACACATAGAAATTGAAGTATTGATACTGATTTGGATAAAACATGAATGCACGGATACTAATTAAGTAAAAAAAAGTGGAGAATTCCCTAAATAGGAGTAAAAAAGTTTTGAAATTCCAAAATAGGATTATCATGTTTTTTATTCCTTGAATAGGAGTAAATTTATGCCAAGTTTGGCATTACTAGGCTTTAAAACATGACATTGTTTTTCCAAATTTGGCAGATTACTCCTATTCAGGAAATAAAAAACATGATACTCCTATTTTGAAATTTCAAAACGTTTTTGCTCCTATTTAGATCAATTTCTATATAAAAAAATAAACCCGAGTGGACTTTTCTAGATTTATTAGTCCATATATTGTTTTATTGATTAAAGAACGTATATCACTTGTAACTTGTAAGAATTAGTCCCGTCCCTCAAAGACTTTGTTAGGGTTAGGATTCTTTATCATGATAAATAATTAAATAATCTACTTATTCTAGATATTTTTGTATATACATTACATCTTATTATATATGATAATTTTTAGTACAGCTTTCTAGCGTGGAAGTGACATGAACAACAAGAGAAAGAACCATGAAAAAGAAAATCATCAAAAAGATGGTGGTGGAGATGATGGAGATGTTCTTCAACTTTCATTGGCTTGCCAGGAATCTACTCATGTACCACAGTTCGTCCTCGCACAGCCACCGGTCCCGTCGTCTCACAGTCAACTAATTCCCCCGAGACAAGTACGACGGCGCCGAAACCTAACAGAGACACCGCACGAAGGCAAAAGTGAGAATGTTCCTTCTCTATTCCCGTGGTCAACAAATAAGCGCGCAACTATACAAAACCTAAGTTATTTGATGTCAAATAAGATATTTACCATCACCGGAGATGTGCAGTGCAAGCGATGCGAGCGAACCTATGAGATGGGATTTGATTTGCGAGAAAAGTTTTACGAGATCGGCAAATTTATAATGGAAAATAAAGAAAACATGCATGATCGGGCACCAGATGTGTGGAGGAACCCGGTTCTTCCTACTTGTAGGTTTTGTGAGCAAGAGAAGAGTATCAAACCGGTTATTGCAAGTAGCAAGAAAGCCATAAACTGGCTCTTCCTGTTACTAGGGCAGCTGCTCGGGTGTTGCACACTCGAGCAGCTCAGATATTTTTGCAAACACACCCAAAATCATAGGACAGGAGCCAAGGATAGGATCCTTTACCTGACCTATTTGAGTTTGTGTAAGCAGCTTGATCCTACCGGTCCTTTTGATCGTTAGTAAGATTGAGTCTACAAGTTCTCTCTCTATTACCGGTGGACGTAGCTCAACTGGTAGTAAGGGAGTGCCACAAGGGTTAGGTCCCGGGTTCGAATCCCGGCAAGTGTGATGAGGGATTACTATGCTAAAAATGCATAGGGTCTCTGCAAGTACCGGGGACAGAGCCTCACTCTCTACCTGTCAGATTGGGATTATAGTCCAATTTACAACCTCCCAACGTACCGTCTGATAGGGGTTGGGGGCCCTCAGGGATGGAGTTTCATCTTTTTTTTCTATTAATGGTTCTAGACAACTATTGACTATGTCCAACTTTGAACTGAGTATGTCTATGTTCTCTATCTTTGGATTATTTATTATACTCCGTATATGGAAGTGATGCGTCCCATTTATGAAGCTTAAAATGACACTAGTTTTAGTATTAGAGCATTTTCATTCATGATCTTTAATAATCAATTTTTTATATGATTCTTACCATTTAAATATTGTTATGTAATTAATTATAAAATAATCTCAAAATTCGTTTATGTCTCTCAATCATAATCTTCAAATAATCTGTTTTTTCTTTGTCCTGCATTTATCTCTATTACATATACTTTTCAAATAATCTTAAAATAATCCGGATTCATATTTTGATCCCAGATTATTGTAGCAAATAATCCTATTAAATAATCTATGTCACTCATTGATAATTCTCTAAAAAAACTGTCATGTCACTAATTTAATCTCGTAATAATCCTCCCAATGAGGATGCCCTTATACGTAGTACAGTATATCTTAATTCTTACATTCTTTTTAGATCTTATCATCACGCATGCAATTGAAGTACATTTTAATCCTTCCCTTAAAGATCGACTATAATTAATTAGTTTTTTTGAAAGGAATAGTTATTTAGTTATAGCCCTTTATATGCGCAATATAATAGATACATGTTCGATTAATTAATTCTAATTAATTAATTAATTAATTAGACTACTATATGATCTTTAGGAATGGTAATATGCTAATATCATAAATATATCGAGTTTCTGATCTATGCATTGCACATTTAGGATGTTTTTACTTGGACTGTAATTCGTCCCACACCAGATCAGACCAGACCAGACTTGGATAGTTATAAAAATACAAAGAAACCAGATCAGACCAGTTCAGACCAGACCAGACCAGACCAGATCAGACCAGATCAGACCAGATCAGACCAGACCAGCAAATTACAGTCCAAGTAAAAACATCCTTACACGGTAAGAAGAAAAGTGGTCGTGGTATAGTTAGAACAAAAGTGCTATACGTACCCCAACCTTTACCCCAATTTGTACCCCATATAAAACTCTTCCCAAAAATTTACCCCCTCCCTCATCTCCCCTTCCCCTCATCTCCCTTTCACCCTCATCTCACTTTCCCCTTCCCACTCGTTCTGGAACATTCAAAAAAAAAATCAGAAAAGTTGATTTCACACGGAGCAACCGTCACTCCCATGGTGTGTCATCTGTTGAAGATCGTCGCCAGCAGGAGCGTCGGCAGGAGAAAAGCAGACCCCGACGGGCCAAGGCTCTGGCAGTTTTCTCCTCCATAGTCGCAGCGTCGCCAGACACTGTTAGAAGTCGCTCTGCCGCCTCGCCGGCCGCATCTCGTCTCTCCAGAATATATGGGATAGATCTGCTGCTCAGACGGATGAAGAGCCCACTCTGCTTCGCAACGACAGGGTGGTAGTTTCCGACGCCATCACCAAACTCGCCGTCAGCGAAGACCAGATCTGTTGCTCTTTGCCATGGCGGTGATTGTGGGGTCAAAACTTACGGGTGCCTTCGAGGCTCGAGCCCGGCGTGCGCTGGGCCAGGTGCTCTCTGCGCCAGCAAACCTGAAAAGAAAAGAGTTGTCTGGCATTGCATTTGATTTGTTGTAATGTGAAATGAATTCCTTAAAATTGATTTGTACAACCTCCGTCCCATTAGAAGGTTCCCGTCCACTATTCACATGGTCAACTTAAATCATTTTTAATCTTTTACTTCATAAATCAAATTTTTATCAAATTTACATCTTTTTATCAGGCTTTGTAGTGGTTTTAATGTAGTTTCTGAATATGTAAATTTTATTTACTGAAAATAATCATAGTGTGAACAGGGATTAAGTTGCTTAATCGTCAGTCAAGCATCGTAAACCGCCAACGGGAACCTTCTAGCGGGACGGAGGGAGTAGTTGTCAGTATGTGAAAAGCATTGTCTGGCATTCCATTTGAGTTGCCTGTAATTTGAAAATAGTTGTCCTGGTGAAATTATGAAGTACTTGTGTATATTTAGACTACTCTGTGATGATACTGAGATGTTTGTCATGGTTTTTTGAATATTATGTAATTGCTTTGGAGTTGTCTGTCAATTTAGTTTAGTTGTCTGTCATGTGAAAGTAGTTGTCTGGCAAGACATTTAAGTTGTCTGCCACGTTAAATCCAATTGTTTAAAATTGGTTTGTAGTTGTCTGTCATGTGAAAGTAGTTGCCTGGCAAGACATTTGAGTTGTCTGTCAATTTATTTTAAATTGTTGAAAATAGTTTTGTAGTTGTCTGTCAGGTAAAATTAGTTGTCTAGCAACCCATTTGAATTGTCTTGCACGTCATTTGGAATTCTTTAAAATTGGGTTGTAGTTTTCAATCAAAATTTCTTAAAGTTTTCTGGCAACCCATACGGTGGTGACATAGGTAATATATCATCCGGGGAAGAAGAGGACGATGGTCTGATCATTGAAGTCTTGAAAGACTTCAGTGACCTGGAGTTGTCTGTCAATTTATTTTGAATTGTTTAAAATTTGTTTATAGTTGTCTGTCATGTGAAAGTAGTTGTCTGGCAGGGCATTTTAGTTGTCTGCCACGTTAAATCCAATTGTTTAAAATTGGTTTGTAGTTGTCTGTCATGTGAAAGTAGTTGTGTGGCAAGACATTTGAGTTGTCTGTCAGTTTATTTTAAATTGTTGAAATAGTTTTGTAGTTGTCTGTCAGGTAAAATTAGTTGTCTGGCAACCCATTTGAATTGTCTTGCACGTCATTTGGAATTCTTTAAAATTGGGTTGTAGTTTTCAGTCAAAATTTCTTAAAGTTTTCTGGCAACCCATACGGTGGTGATAGAGGTAATATGCCATCCGGGGAAGAATAGGATGATGGTATGATCATTGAAGTCTTGAAAGACTTGAGATGGTCTTTTTTCCTCATTTGTTGATATTTTTTTATCCAACTCCGCATGAAAAGGGATTGTCTGTTTGACAGACAAATTTGAAGTGCAGCGTCTATCTAGCTGAACATGATTTCATAGTTGGTAGAGTCTTACATAAGATGTCTATCTGGACAGACAAATTTATTTGTTTGAGTACATAGAACAATTGTTTGTATGCACATTTTCTTATTTTACAAATGTATTTTATAGTATTTTTGATGACTTGAGTAGTTCTTCTTTTCTTGATTTTATTTTCTTGATTTTTTGGTGTGTTTCATAAAAAAGACAAACAATACATATATCCAGACAGACAATAGAGATAACTAGACAAACATTATTTTTATAGACTTATAAATTTTAATCAATCACTTCCAAAGACAACTTTGAAGACAACTGATTACATCTCAAAAACTACACACCACAAATTACATACAACTCACAATCAAATGAGAAACAACTAAATATGACTTACATACATATATTTTTAAAGTGATAGACAACTTCACGACTCTTACAGACTTCTCACAATAACATGACAGATAACTCGAAACAAATATAGACAACTCAAAATAAATACAGACAACTAACAATCAAATGACAGACAATTTTACGAGTTACTAACAAATACCACTTACGAGTTACAACATTTTTTTCGAAAACACGTCAAAAAAAACAATCTACAAAAGTAGATCCGCTCAAATCATTCAAAGCTTCTTGGTATGCACTTTAGTGATACGAGAACAAGGATGCACGCTTTGCCCCGATTCAAAAATACATTGAAATAGTTGTCTTTGCTCACTTCCAATCCTCTTTCATAGCTGTAGGATGCAGAATAAAACCAGGATGAAAGAATAAACGACAGATATTGAAGGGAGGAACATTGCATGAGATCGTTGGCTGAGGGGAGAGAAATTTGAAACTCAAACTCTGCCTAATTAGCGAAGGAACCCTTTGTGCACTGTAGCAGCTTTGAAGGATGCTCTGTTGTTGGCAGAAAAGAATAGAGTGGGTAGAGGAGAGAGAGGGTGAGGTTTAGATATTTTTGAGAGGGGGTAAAAAAGATGATAAAAATGATGGGTTTTATATGGGGTACAAATTATTACGACTTAATTAATTATGTTTCATTAATGTACTGGGCCTGGCCTGTTTGTATAGGGTTTGTATAGCTTACTTAGATTATGACTCTTGTACTATATATACTCCTTAATCATTAATAATATACATCAACTTCTCATCTCAATATGGTATCTAGAGCCACACTTTAAAAAGCCAAAACAATAATTTTATTTTTTTTCCGGCTATCAGCCGTGTTCGTTTCCCAAGGGCCGCAGCCTAGGGTTCCGCGCAGCCGCCGTCGACAGCTCCTATCACCCAGCCATGGTTCTCACGGCGGAATCCACTGTGATCACTATCACGGCCTCTACGCACTTTCCAATTAAACTCACTTCCTCCAATTACCCAGTTTGGAAAACCCAGGTTTATGCCGCTCTCATTGGACTTGGCCTGGAAGATTATGTGGATGGTACCCTTACCACCCCCCATCTTCATCTTGATATTGATAAATCTACTCCGAATCCGCTCTATCAAACCTGGTACCGCCAGGATAAAAGTATTCTCAGTGCTCTGTTGGGCAGTTGCTCGGACACTATTCAGCCTCTTCTTTCTTCGGCTAGTACGGCCAAGGAGGCGTGGGATCGCCTCTCTCAAACGTATGCTGGTTTATCGCGTGGACGTATCATGTCGCTCAAGTCTACCTTTGCTAAAACAGTTAAAGGTACAAAATCTATCACGGAATATCTTGCGGAGATGCAAGGACTTGCTGAAGCATTGGCCCTGTCTCAAAACCCTATGCCCGAAGAGGATATTGTCATTGGCATCCTCAACGGCCTCCCCCCTGATTATTCCGAAATTATTGCTGCTGTTCGGGTCCGTGATACAGCGATACCGTTAACAGCTCTTCAGGATATTTTGCTGGAGCATGAAGCCAAGCAGGTCGCCATTCATTCGCAATCCTCGCAGCTGCTACCGACGGCCAACTATACCGCTGGACAGCGCGGTTTTCGTGAACAGACTGCCCAGCGAGATGGTGACAACAACAGCGACCGTCACGGTGGATTCTCTGGCCACCGTGGTCGTGGTCGCGGTTCGTACGGTTCTGGGGGTGGTCGCGGAACCTCCAGGCAGCTTCAGTGCCATTTTGTGAAAATATTGGACATGAGGTCAAGCACTGCCGCAAGCTTCAGCGGTTCCTTCGGAACCATATTGTTCTCCCGCAGCCGGGTCCACATGCCAATTATGTGTCTGCTCCTTCTCCCATGCAAAATCAGCCCTGGCTTTTTGATAGCGGAGCATCTCATCATGTTACGTCCGATGTGTCTCATTTACCCACTTACGCTGAATACGGGGGTCCTGAAGAGGTTAAGTTAGGGGATGGTAAGTCACTTAATATTACTCATAAAGGTACCACTGTTTTATCTACCCCTACCCGTCCTCTCTCCCTGTCCAATGTTTTATGTGTTCCTAAATTACAGAAGAATCTTATTTCTGTGGCCAAGCTCTGCAAAACTAATCATGTCTCTGTTGAATTTTTTCCTGATTTTTTTATTGTGAAGGATCGCATCACGGGGGCGCCACTGCTGCGCGGGGTGAATCAACATGATGTGTACTATGCCCCAGTGTTCACACCTGCCACTGTCAATGCCACTCAATATACCTGGCACCACACTTTGGGTCACCCTTCGCGTCGTGTCATGCAGTTTTTATCTTTTGGTTCAAACATAAAGTTTTCTCACATTCCTCATTGTATGTCCTGTTCAATCAATAAAAGTCATAAACTCCCTTTCTTTAATAATACGATGTCTGCTTCCAAACCATTGGAATTAATTTATTCTGATGTATGGAGTTCTAGTGTTTCCTCAATTGATGGTTATTACTATTATGTCATCTTTGTTGATTATTTTACTCGTTATACCTGGCTCTACCCTTTAAAAAGAAAATATGATGTTGCCATAATTTTTCCTCAGTTTCATCGCCTTGTTGAAAAATATTTTAATTCTCGAATAATTAAATTTTTTTCTGACAATGGCGGTGAATTTATTAAATTGCGCCCCTATCTCAATGTTCATGGTATTTCTCACTTCACCACACCACCTCATACCCCTGAGCATAATGGCTTAGCTGAGCGTAGGCATCGTCATATTGTTGAAACTGGCTTGGCCTTACTACACTATGCTGGCATGCCTCCTCAGTATTGGTCTTATGCTTTTCTTACTGCCGTTTATCTCATCAATAGACTACCTACTCCTACTCTTCATGGTGCCTCCCCCTACTCTAAATTACATAATCTCACTCCTAATTACTCCAAACTTCAACCGTTTGGCTGTTTGTGTTATCCCTGGCTTCGGCCGTACACCTCCACCAAACTCCAACCCCGATCCATTCCGTGTGTCTTTCTTGGTTATTCTCTTACTCAATCTGCCTTTTACTGTCTTGATCATCACTCTGGTCGTGTCTACGTCTCGCGTCATGTTGTATTTGTTCCTCACACTTTCCCTTTTCTATCTTCTAATCAGTCCTCCTCCGTAACTAGCAAATCTCTCTCGCGGTCCTTCACAAGCTCGGTGGCTCCCCGTGTTTTCTTCCCTACCGCCCAGGCCCCACCCAACTGGAACACAACAACCAACCTTTCTCCTGCTTCCAGTCCGCAAACTCTGCTCGACACCAACACCCAACCCACCCCACCTCCAGGTCCCTTAGTCCATGTGCCTCCATATCTTCCTTCTTACCCATCGTCACAGCCTACCACCGAGCCGAACATCTCATCTCGCCCTGCCCGACACCACAAACCTAACCCTAGATATTATAGTGGTGCTTTTGTGAATAATACTAACGTGCATCCTGTTTCCCCTACACTTGAACCATCTTCTTTAAAAGTGGCTTTGCAGGATTCCAGGTGGAAGAAAGCAATGGATGAAGAATATCAAGCCTTATTACGCAATCATACATGGGACCTTGTTCCTCCTGCTCATCACTCTCCTATTACTTGTCGATGGATTTTTCGTGTCAAGCGCCATTCCGATGGCAGTGTTGCTCGGTTCAAGGCACGTTTGGTGGCTCGTGGCTTTCTCCAGCAGCCCGGACGTGATTATTCTGAGACCTTTAGTCCTGTTTTTAAGCCAGCCACCTTACGCATCGTCCTTACTATTGCTTTGTCTCGCGCATGGCCAATCCGACAGCTGGATGTTAATAATGCTTTCTTGCATGGCACCTTGGAGGAGGAGGTATATATGGTTCAGCCACCTGGATTTGAAGACCCAGCTCATCCTACGCATTTGTGCCGCCTTAAGAAGGCCTTATATGGTCTTAAGCAAGCGCCACGGGCTTGGTATCTGGCACTTTCCAGATTTTTACTTAGCATGGGGTTTCGGCGGTCCCAGACGGATCATTCCCTATTTGTTTATAATCATGCGGGTGTACTTATTTATTTCCTCGTCTATGTGGATGATATTGTGTTAACAGGTAGCTCAGACACTATTCTTGCTAGGTTCATCTCTCAGCTCACCAAGGAATTTTCTGCCAAAGATTTGGGACCGCTTCATCACTTCCTTGGGATTGAGGTTGTACCTCACCCCACTGGCCTACTTTTATCTCAACGGCAGTATATTCTTACAATTCTCGAGAATCACGGCATGCTGGGAATTAAACCGGCTGTCACACCTATGAGGGCTGGTAACCCTGGGTCGAGCACTTCGGCAGCCGCATTTTCTGATATCACAGGCTATCGGCGAGCACTGGGCATGTTGCAGTACTTGTCTTTCACTCGGCCTGACATTTCTTTTGCAGTTAATCGGCTCTCTCAATACATGCATTGCCCTTCGGTTGATCATTGGACATCTGTCAAACGCATTTTTCGCTACCTTAAAGGTACTTTGGATTTTGGATTGTTTTTACATAAATCTCAGGGTCTTCAGCTTACTGCATTTTCTGATTCTGATTGGGGTGGTACAACTGATGATGGGAGATCTACCACTGCTTATGTTCTCTATCTTGGTCCTAATATTATTTCTTGGAAGTCTACCAAGCAAAAGAGTGTTTCTCGCTCCTCGACTGAGGCCGAATACCGTGCGGTCGCAAATGCCAGTGCCGAGATCCTATGGGTCAAAAACGTGTTGCATGAGTTGGGTATCACCTTATCTTCTGTTCCTATGCTTTACTGTGACAATCAAGGCGCCACCTATGTTTGTGTTAATCCAGTATTTCACTCGCGAATGAAGCATCTTGCCTTGGATTTTTTCTTTGTTCGCGAACTCATTCAGCGTGGTCAACTACATGTTTCACATATCTCCACCAAATTACAGATTGCAGATGCTCTTACCAAACCCTTGGGACAGTCTTTATTTGAACGATTTCGGTCCAAGCTTGGAGTTTCCGACGGAACCTCCATCTTGCGGGGGCGTATTACGACTTAATTAATTATGTTTCATTAATGTACTGGGCCTGGCCTGTTTGTATAGGGTTTGTATAGCTTACTTAGATTATGACTCTTGTACTATATATACTCCTTAATCATTAATAATATACATCAACTTCTCATCTCAATACAAATTGGGGTAGAGGTTGGGATACCTATAACATTTTTGTTATTTTGTAGTTAGAAACTTAGAACTTAGAAGGTGTCGTTATTACGGGTGGGGTAAGTACTGCCACTACCAATGAAATTCATGTGATCGAGTATGAATTTACAAAAGGTAGAGTCTTGCAGTTGAAGTAGAGCAATTCATTTATTGAAGTGAGTTTTTTTGAGCCACAAATAAAGGCTGATGTACAAATTGGAGTACAATGTGGGTTACTTGTCAATTGTCTATGGACTTCACATGACATTTGATTGATTGTAGGATTCTAATTTATGAGGATATTTTTATTTTGAATGAAATTTTCTAGTGTAGTATGGTTCGTTAGATTGTTTGATGTGATATGTTTAAGTCTGTTCTGGTCTAATTTAGGGATTGAAATCAATCTAAGTAAAAACATTTTGATTATACAAACACCAACACCTTGATCATAAAAATAGGCACCTTTTTTAAATTGGAAATAGCCCGGCCGGACAAAAATATTTCATGCCAACAAACAATGTAGATTTTTAAGGGGAAAATAATTAAAATACCCAAACTTTGAAGGGGTGTGAGATAAACACCTCGAACTTTCATATGTAATTTAAATACCCCAAATATTACATAAAAAGTTATTTTAACACCATTGTTATTTATGATTTCTTTCAAAAATGAAAATTTATGGTGTTAAATGCATAATTTAAAATGACAAACTGAAAACATTAGAATTATATATAGTAGTAAGTAATACAATTTATTTTACAATGGAAGCTTAGAACTTTAATTCTATCTTTATGAATGCTAAAATTATCAAGAAATAAACACCAAAAATTAATATTTTGAAAGAAATAATACATGACTATGATGCTAAGATTATGAAATTAGTGGCATAATTTTAAAATTTAGGTGTACTAAATGTAGATTTTAAAAGTCTAAGAAAGTCTAAAAAAAGTAGGAAGAACACACAGCAAAAGTTGAGAGCTTCTCCTGCCGATTGCGCCCCAACTCTTTTGCGACTATGGATTGTCCGTTGTTTTGGATTTGAAAGTTATAAACTTATAATCGGTGTTGTTTTTGGTTTGTTCTTGGTCAGATTCTAGCCTAATATCGATTTGGTTTTTGAATGATGAAGGATGGCCAAAAACTAAGAAAACGACGAGCTGAATCGCGATTTTACTGTTCACAGAATAATCGATTTTAGTTCTAGCAAGATTAGCGTTTTACTCAGGGTGTGCTTGGTGTTCGTCATTCTCAGCCGCTCCTCTACACCCTGTGCTTGAGCGGGGTGAGGTTGAGCGGTGGTGTTCATCACCTTTGTCGTTGAAACTGTCTATGGCGAGAAAGAAGCAGGTTGAGCCAACTACAGTACGGAATACCAGGTCCAGGTTTGCTCTACTACTCCTAATTTATGGGAATAGCGTGAAGAAAACGACTTCACATGAGGCAGAGACCTCCGGGCCAGGTGCTGTCACATCTCCTGCAGGTTCAGGTGCTTTCAGCGTGAAGAGGACTGCTACTCAGGTAGAAACCTCCTCTAATGCAGGACTGACACATAAATGTGGGAGTATCATCACCCCATTGATCTCCCAGGCCAGAATCCTGGGAAGGCTATGAAACCAGTAACTGCAAAACAGAATGATGGTGAAACTGGTGCTGGGCACGTTACTGAGAAGGCCATTTCTGTGGTAGAGATTCCTGGAACTAAACCATGGAACTCATTGTTCAAGGATAATCCGGATCCAACACATGGCATTAAATTGACATATGTCCAGCCTAAAGCTGAAACATTGGATTTTGTTAATCGAAAATTACGTTCTATGATTGAAATGTGGAGCTATTGTCTTGTTGGACACTTCACGGGAAGATTTCCCGGACTCAAAGCGATTCATGATTTGAAGGCAACATGGGGCGTGAAATGCCTTGTGAGATCCCATGAAAAGGGTTGGATTATCTTTAAATTCCAAAGTGAAGGGGACAGATCTAAGGTGGTACATGAAGGACCTTACATTGTTTTTGGGAAACTTCTAATGCTCAAGGAGCTTTCAGAAGATTTCTCGTTTGAGGATGCGGAATTTCTGAAGGTATCAATTTGGATCAAGTTCCCTAAACTACCAATGAAGCTATAGAATGACGAGGCTATGAGCGAGGTGGCATCTATGTTTGGGGTCCCAATAACTACGGACAAGATCACCCAAGAGAGGACTAGTAATGACTATGCTAGAGTGTTAATAGAGGTCGATGTTTCAAAGCCACCACCACTATCCTTTCCTATACGACTACCTTCTCGAAAAATATTCAAAACAAAGTGTGTTCTATGAAACTTTTCCTAACTATTGCTTTCATTGTAAACAATATGGGCACCACCCATTTATTTGTAAAAAGCTAGCAAAACGAGGTGATGTGGGGACGAACGGCGATGAGGAGTCGGTCCTATAAATGATAACGAGGTGATGATGAAGTTGATCATCATATAAAGGTGATGGTCACCATCCAGAAAGGGAATGACGAGCCCAATCACTAGCTCAGGACGTTCGGCGCTGAGGAAGCCGGTCTTGAGATAAAGGATCACGCTGAGGCTGAGGAGCCGTTCGTGATCTGAGGACGACAGAACTGAGAGGCCGTTCATCGTAAAGGCGACGGTCCCCATCTTGGAAGGGATGGAGAGCCCTATCACTAGCTCAAGGCGCTCGGCTCTGAGGAAGCCGGTCTTGAGATAAAGGATCACGCCGAGGTTGAGGAGCCGTTCGTGATCTGAGGATGACAGAAGTGAGAGGTCGTTCGTCGTAAAGGCGACAGTCCCCATGGAAGGGATGGAGAGCACTATGGCTAGCTCAATACGTCCGGCGCTGAGGAAGCCGATCTTGAGATAAAGAATCACGCTGAGGCTAAGGAGCCGTTCGTGATCTCAGGACGACGGAACTGAGAGGCTGTTTGTCGTAATGGCGATGGTCCCCATCCTGGAAGGGATGGACAGCCCTATCGCTAGCTCAAGACGCTCGGCGCTGGGGAAACCGGACTTAAGATAAAGGATCACGCTGAGGCTGAGGAGTCGTTCGTGATCTGAGGATGACGCAACTGAGAGGCTGTTCGTCATAAACGCGATGGTCCCCATCCTGGAAGGGATGAAGAGCCCTATTGCTAGTTCAAGACGCTCGACTCTGGGGAAGCCAATATTGAGATAAAGGATCATGCTGAGGCTGAGGAGCCATGCGTGATCTGAGGATGACGGAACTGAGAGGCCGTTCGTCGTAAAGGCGACGGTCCCCATTCTGGAAGGGATGGAGAGCTCTCAATGAAAGCACCAAATGATAGAGTGTTAACTCTTAGAGAGAAGGGATAACTAGAGAGAGAAGTGCAATGAGTTTGGCAATAATTGTATTTGTGAACCCTCTACAACTACCCCCAAAAGGAGTATTTATAGAGAAAACATGTGTGACACCGCACCCGGATGTACTTGAATTTAAAATTCGGTATCCAAAAAGATATTTTAAGAAAGACAAAAAATACTATTCCCTCTGTCCCGAATTAATCGTCTTATTTCCCTTTTTGAGATGTCCCAAAATAATTATCTTCTTTCCTCTTTTGACAATAATATGTGACACATTAATTCATCTATTCTCTACTCAAGTCTCAACTACGACTTTTTACCTTTTCAACCACTTTCTTAAAATTTGCAATAAAGCAAACTAGACAATTATTTCGCCGTTTCACGGCGTATTAAGGGAGTGTTTATCATTGCTTCAACCTATTTTTTTAAAGTGATATTAAAGAAAGTACTTTTTAGTAAAAGTTGGTAGTTTTTTAGCATAGAAGTGATTGTGATGGATATTAAAAAAAGGCGGACGACCCCTCGGGTACCCTAGTTTTTTTTTTGCGTAGCTTCTTCCGGCGATGGAATTATCCGCTAGCTTAGCCCGATAGTTTTTCGTAGAGACAGGGCGACAGGAGGAACAAAAGGGCGGACGACCACAACGCATCATCGAACGGCCGATCGATCACAAATTAAAGGAGTTTTGATGGAGGAAGGATACAACCGGGAAGAAATAGAAGTGTTGGCTCAAGCATACGGACAAATGGAGATGGAGTAGGAAGATGAATTTCTGGTGGTGGAAACTATGGATTCAGGCACAACGAACACAAACTTGTGTTTGGTGGGGACTATTACTTAAGAAAAATCAGTATGTTTCACTAAATTCCGTGACATTATGGCATTTGTGTGGAAACCTATCAAAGGTGTCACCATAACAAAGGAATTAGAGTCTATAAGATATGTCTTTCACTTTTACAATAATGAGAATGACATGATGAGGATTGTTGAGGAAGTATCGTGGATCTATGATCAGAATCTTATTAATTATCATGAGCAAATTAAAGGAAGGAGATCTGCCTATGATTGTTCCTCTAAATAGAGCAGACTTCTAGAATCAGGTTCACGACACACCTGTTGGTTATTTTACCCTGAATAATGCAGAAAGAATTGGAGATTTTATGGGGAAATTTAACAAAGTTGACGAACATAACTTCTCTGTTAAATGGAACGTGTTTATGAGAATTAGGGTTAGCCTTGATTTAGTCAAACCTCTCAAAGAAAACTGTTTTTGCAAAAGAAAGAAGATATACATATCTTTGCCACTTTTCGCTATGAAAAATTGTCTAGTTTCTACCCGTGGATCAAGGCAACAAAGGGAAGAGGCCAAGTGAGTGAGAACGATTGGCTAGTACTAGTGAGCAAAGGGCCCAACCAAAGTAAGGAGACACGGATAGGGGCTACAATCAATAATAAGTAAGAAGTCATGTCTGAGAAAAGAGAGTCAGACGCTTAGGGGGAAATTGAGCAAAAGCGTAGACGCATTGAGGAGTCAGGAAATCTCTCTTCTTGTTCGGACATGCTGGATGTGGAGCTGATTCGTACAAAAAAGGGAAAGAAGCGAGTTGCAATTTTGTGGCTCGCCTGCTTCAAAACTGAGATCGTTACAAATCCAAGAGGAGAGCAGAGGGGTGGGATCCCACAAGACAATATGTATTTTTTTTCTTTTCAGTTCTATTAATTACTATGGTTTGGTTGTTATCTTGGACAATGGAGGTAGGTTTTTAATTCCCATTTTTATTTCTTTATTTGGTCTTTTGGGTGGAAGCGATAAGGCTTGTTTGGTCGATAAAGCTTCGTAGCTTTCACATGTTCAGTTATTAGTCTCGCTCAGTCTAGGATGGTCTATTTTGTGTCTGATCAGGGAGTGAGAGGGCCTTTTGTCTATACGAATTGAAATCTCGCAGGGAGGCTTGGTTTATTGTGAAGATGGGGATGTTTGTTTTTTTGAGATTAATTTAAGCCACTTCCTTTAAAAAATGACTATGGTGGAAAAGTTAAAATTGGTGTGTTTGATAAAAATTTATTTTTGATGGAATATTTTATTGTAGGACAAAAAACCCTTTGTCCATTAAACACATTATTGAGTTTAATTCCGGTAGATCCAAAGGTCCAACACCAGCCTTTGAATATCAGATGTGTTTAAAATATAAAAGTAATTAAGGAAAGTTGCTAACTAATAAGATCACTCAATGACTGCCATTGTCTTACAAAGAAATGATCGAACGGTAGTTACGGTCCACTGTCTAATACAAAAGCTAGAATGAAGTATAGTACTTGTGAGTATTCAAATGCTAACCCCTTACAATGTAGTAAATGCTACTATTTACTCATGGTGAGTAGGTGGGGTTGATGATGTGGCGAACCCTCAATGGCTAATCTCCTTGCCACTTGCAGCACCCATGCATCAACTTGAGGTGCCCATGCTCCTGCATTAAATGCGTCCCTGCCACTTGTAGGACATTCTCGATTGGTGCTTCAGACTAGCATGACTAGCAGCCAAGGATGATGTTTCCTTCCTCCCAAGTATGATGTTCCACCCGTTGGGGATCCACCGAATGGCTACTGCCCAACAGACGAGAGCCTATTCGGTACCCTAACATCCAGTCTGGTATCCTTTGGGTTCCGTTGCTTTCCTTTGGACCTTAGGGATATTTTGAGCCGGGCTATTGGGCCGGACCTTATATCCCAACACATATAATTTGCACGAAGGATTGGAGGAGATGGCCAAATGACGATGTATGTGGGTGGGGTTGATATCTCTGGCCAAAATTATGAGAAGTGAAGAAGGAACGACGAAGAATCATATTTCTCTCATCTCTGTTGCCTTTTCTTTGGGGCATTATTTTAATATGCATCTAAGTAATACACAAACATACAAATAATAGGAGTATGAAATGTGTGTGTGTAAAACCCTTCTTGGGAACGAGAGAAACAGTACACGCGAGAGCTGCCAGACAAGGGTATTGTGGGGAGGGAGAGGGAGGGAGGGAGAGAGAGAGCTGCCGGACAAGGGTATTGTGGGTTTGGTTAAATATACTTATCATTATAACTATCCTTAAAGTTCAAACTATTTACAACAAAATCTAGAAGCACTTAGAAGCCCCCTGGATCAGCTTCTAATTTTTGGCTTTGAAATGATTTTTTAACGCAGAAAGTAAACATGTGTTTGAACACTAATTTCAGTTTTTCTTAATTCAAAAGCTGAAAAATGCTTTTCTTAATTTATTGAAAACACTGTTTAACTTTTACACAAAAATAGAAGACGAGCTCCCTAAGCCTGTGCATCCATCCTTTTTTTACGGTGCACCATCAAGTAGCCACCACGGTAACCACCGATTCTATTTCCACCACCACCGTCACAACCAACCACGCCATCGTGGCCAGTGGTGGAGCCAGAGGTTTGTCCAAGGAGGGGCAAACCAAAGACTAAAAATTTTAATGTTCGTGTCCAAAATATAATAAGAACAACAATAGCGTAATAATTTAACAAAAAATTATAGTTCATTACATACTACTTGATTTACTTCTGCAACCTAGGCAAATCAATCCTACGAGTTTTCATATTTTGAAAATGCTGCATAATAGCTTCATTATCAATTGCTTGAAAAATGTCTCTTTCGATGTAGCATACTAAGCAATCCGTAAGATAGTCATCTCCCATCTTATTGCGAAGATCTGTCTTGATAATATTCATCGCTGAGAAAGTTCTTTCAACTGTGGCTGTTGCAACTGGTAACACTAGAGCCAACTCAATAAGACGATAGACCAAGTGAAAAGATTTGTGAACTGAGATTTGAGGATTCACACAAATAATTTCTGACTTTTCGTTAGGGATGAGAGCAAATAATTAATATGGGCATAAATTGGCAGATGAGAAACTTACTTGAAAATTGCAGAATCTGAGAACAAATGGGGAGAAGTGAGAACTAACTGGAGAAGGAAGGTAGATTTCTGT